AAAATGATCAAACACATCCCTCAGAAGTACAATTGAAGTCTTAGCACACCACTGGGTTTTAATACACAACAGATGACAGGTAGTCACTACAGGGATCATTGTCTTTGTAAATTGGGGGCATGGGGGAAACAGAGTATCCTCATTTTAGTAGGGACACTCATTGAACAATTAATGTAATGATATAAAAAGCATAATTTTTTATGTCTCCGCAAATTCTGAGGTTGGGATGGGGAGAAAAAGTGGGTGCGTGTGTTGGGGAAAAGGAGTCGTCAATGGGGGTGGCGTTACCCATTACCTCCTGCCCCTGTTTGCTCTACTTTCGGCAGGAAAAAAATGGAATTGGTTTCTCAGTATCTATTAATAGGGCCATCTCTGGAAATTGCGAACATGTACACGTATTATAATCAAGCTATGAATTTAACGACCATATTGTTCATCATATATTGATTGGATGCATTCCTCTGATCATACATTAGGCCCCCAAAAAGTCTCCGGTTTCTATTCTGCGCGCGCGTCGCCGCGCCGTAGCCATGCGCGTCGGCAAAATGAAAAAGTTTTTTTTTCAATGTAAGATGATGTCTCAAAACCGCCAAATTTACTGGTTTGACTGGAATCCTGCTGCTGCATGCACAATGTTAACGTGTTTTTAGATGGGGTTACGATCGAGTATAAGCTTTATGTGGCCTCTCTGTACTCCCATATATTTTGCACTAAATTTAGTCGGGCACCATTTGCAGTCATCAGCCGACATTATTTTGAAGAGAAAAAAAAAAAATAAAAAAAAATAAAAAAACCAGCCACGTCGCCGCATCACTTTTGGGGCAAGCTCCATACCAGAAACTGGAGACTTTTTTTGGCCTTACCGAGTTCCATTGGTTAAAATATGGAATGTAAAAACCTTCTTAGAACATTGTTGGGTAAAACATTAAGAGCACATCCATGCATAAGAAGGTTCAAAGGGACACTTACAAAACAGAACTGCTGTCAATTGATCATTCCGCTTTCAACACCTTACATGTACATGTATTACCCTCAGTGGTGGCGCACATCGTCCATTATCCATCTCACCATTGCAGGCTGATCACATCAATAATTGTCCAGCTCGTGTCAAATGCAGGCCTACAGATCCTCAAGAATCAAGAGTTGGCCGCTGAAAACTTTGTTTTCATATCCCCCCCCCCCCCCCAAAAAAAACCCTACAAGGACTGAAGGAGTCACATCCAGTGACTTGGGAGGTCATTCTACAGCATGATTCAGTGAGATTACTGTCCCTAAATGTTTATGAAAGTGATTTCTGAAGGGAGTGAGTGCTGGGGCACCGTCTTGTGCCTGCCTGCCTGCCAATGATGTTAGAAGATACAAAATATCCCATGACATTACTTGTCTTTATGTCCGGTTGTGTTTTCTATAAATTGAACCTAATATGTATGCATGAGCTCTTAATGTTTTACCCAAACTGCCCCCCCCCCAAAAAAAAACCCAGCTTTTTACATACCATTTTGAAAACAATGGAACTCAGTGGTGTATTACCAGAGGAATGCATCCAAGATATCAATGGAAAGCTATAAAAGCTTACTGCCCATAGGTTATAATGAAAACCATAATTCTAAGCCTAATAATATAATCATGTTACACAAAGGGTGTGATCAGTTAATTTTAGTTAAGTTTTAAGAACGTCAAATGAATTGATTGGAAATCAATATAGCCCAGATATTTACTGACACTTGAAAAGTTACACTTCTCGAAATGGTTCAATATTTAAACAAAAGGAAAAATTTGAAAAGGATACAAGGAAAAAGTAATTGCCAAATAACAGCTGAAAATTTTTGATTATTATTTCTAAAATGTCACAAAATAGTGCCATTAGATCTATGGTTTCCTCTAAATGTTCATTTCAGCTTTCACTTATTTGGCTCTTTGACTATTTCTCTCCTTTATCAAAAGTGCTCTTTGATTCAGCATTAAGTATGAGTTCATATCCAAATTTCAAAAGTTCATGCTGCTTAACTGGCATCAAAAGCCTAATTTGACACTACAGGGTGTTGCAAAAAGAAGGAAACCCACTTTTCACAGCATTTTCACATATGTATTGATCATATTGCAAGTATTCAATTTAATGGTATTAAAACGTTGATCTTTAAACACAGTGAAGAAAAAATGATTGCAATTTGCAAATACACATGTACATAGTTTGTCTCTAAGATATGGTAGTTTAAAAATTGCATGTGCCACACCTATTTGTCCACGGACGGATTCCATTCACTTGACTGAGCTCTGGAGCTTGATTTGAAGACAAAAAACACTACAATTAGACTTACAAGTGGACAGAAGTGATTTTGGTGACTTGTATAGGTTTTCCCGGCCACTTTCCTAAAATATTCACTCACTTCTGAAAATCGGTCATTCATTTTCGTCTGAATTTGAGAATCGCTCTTAACACGCGTTTCGTTTTCGCTACCAGAGCATTCGATACCATTTCAGTTCAATTAGGATGATATACAACATTTGCAAACATCAAAAAACAAAACTACAAAATTATTATGCAATATCTTACTGGATAGTAAGTTGTTGAATTACAGTCTAAATCATCCTGTAAAATCATGGCACTTGGTGTGCTGTCATTTTCAAGAAAAGTGGTATTTTTGTACCAGCATTGGAAAAGAAACTTTTTTCTTCTTCAAATACTGCCTCCAATTTACCATATTTAGTTTGGCTGCATTTTGTTTGCAATCGACAACACACCTATGAGCGGGTACACAAGCCAGACTGTTTCCCTGACCTTACCATTCCCCGACAGCGTAATTTTTTTTCCTAGGAGGGTTAGGGGCAATGTCATGAATAATTCAGTTTTTCCTTTGAATCATTGCAAGACTTAGGTTCTCGTTCTATTTTCCCCTTAATTTAAAATTATCTCAGTGATAAATTTGGAGAAGAAAAATAGCTGATGAAAATGAGCAGCGACGACGTGGATTCGAACCAGGGATCTTTGTATCCATAGCTCATCTCGCTATCCACTAGGCTACTGTGTGGTAGCTCGACGACAACCGTTCTTTAAAATGCTTTAATGTATTGTAACTAGTTGAGTAACTAACAACAATGCTGTTGATGTCATCGTCCGTTCTCATGGATAAACATGAATTATTCATGACATTGCCCCTAACCCTCCTAGGAAAAAAATTACGCTCCCCGACATCTATAAATTGCTCCGTTTCATCTTACGTGGGGTCAGGGAACCAGACTAAAAAACATGATCGTTTTTTTCGTTTTTTTTCAGCATTTACGAACACAAACATTCCAACAAGTCAGTGTAACAATATTTCCTACGAAATACTTACCCCCAAATAAATCCATTTCTGAAAATAACAGCAAAAGCAAATGATGTATATCCCCTTTAAGTGATTGAGCAGCACCTTTTCTTTATGTCCATTCAGATTCGTTTACAAGACTTCTTTTTCGCTTTTAGAGACCGATTTCAAACATTCACAATGCTATTTCACTTTTAGTTTAATGCGTTCGGCACCAGATACATTTAGGGGTTTCTTGTTCATTAACCGTCAATCAAATTAGCTGTACCTGAATTCAATTTAGAAAAGGTATGCTTGGGTAAATGAATGCACAGGTAAACGCAATTGGCCGTCTGTTTCTCAAAACCGAATGCACGAAAACAATTGAACTTTCGTTGAATTGAAATGGGACTAAAGACGTGCATTCAAATTCAGATAAAAAGGAATGACCGATTGTCAGAAGTGAACGAACATTACATGAAATTAGCTGGGAAAAGTTATACTTAAATTAGCATAATAACACTACTCTTGCGATATTTAAAAGATTTTTTTTTCACCACGTATAGTTGAAGAGCTAAACTTCACTACATTATATAAAAAAAAAAAAGTTCAAAAAAGTAGGTTAAAATTCTTATCAAAAGTGGGTTTCCTTCTGTTTGCACCACCCTGTAGAAGTTCCTGGTATTATAGTATATAGTATATAATAGTACATAGCCAAAGCACTCTCAATTGCTCCAAATCCTAACTCTGAGCCTGCTGGAAAAGCTATGGAGCAGGACTGCGATTTTTCAAAGTGTGCTTTATGTTTGACATAAACTTTTTAAGATGACAAAACACCCCCTCTAGCTGTGTTATGGTATGTCCCTCACGCAATTAGTCGTAAACAACTCCTTATATGGAGATTGGAGCATGCGTTGCGCATACTGGTACTGTGGCACAGAAATAGGCGGTGCTGGTGTACAAATGTAGTGTGAATTTAGGACTCTAAAAATACGGACTCAATGGTAGCATTGCACACATTCTACCAATAAAAGGGTTACAACGACCAGACTTCATAGGAGTCCAAATTTCATGCTACACTAGAAAAATGTTTTATGACCAGCCAGCCGGTGTTTTATCAACCATTTAAGACCGACCACTTGATGGGCTCTGGACCAATGGGAATGGATAAACACAATGTAAATGTGAAAAACAAATTATGAGGTGATGTTGTTAACATACTTTTGAACATGCTCCTTCATTGGGTAATGTAAAAAAGTCAGGATCCTACTTTTAATTCAGAAGTAATCAAAACACCAGATGCGTGTAGTATAATGTCATTAGAAGAATCATGTCATGAGGACAGATGAGGTACATTTTATCATTTGCATTTGCATAATATTGATTTGTATAATATTTAAAAAAAAATCCAAGATAAACTGATTGTACCTTCACCCCATAATAAAGGATAACTCAGGCGCGGATCCAGAGGGGGGGTTTGGGGGGTCACCCCCCCCCAGCTCTGTAAAAAAAAAATTATCATACAAATTCCTAAAAAATAAGTTGAAACCCCCCCCCCCCCTGTGAGTGACACCCCCCCCCAAAAAATTACACTGGTATAATGTCCGCATGTTCTAAATACGGTACACCATTTTGTAATCTAGTGTTAATAATCGTCGGATTTGAATAGCGCCCCCTATTGAAATATGGTACCAGCCCCCCCCCCCCCCCTCCCAGTTTTTGATTTTATGGAGGCCAAGTGTCTGGAGAAAAAAAACCTGTGTACATTTTCAGATTTTTTTGCTGATGAAAACACCCCCCTGCGAAAATTCCTGGATCCGCCCCTGTTACTTGCTTACAAACGTGCAAAATCGGCAGTGGCCTACCAAAGGATGGATAAGCTAGAATCCCCATTCTTTTCTGAAATGCTCCCCAATTTGTCCTGGCGATGCAGTAATTATTGTTCACATCTTACCATTTGTTCTCCCCCGATTCCTTCTGCTTACTTGTGATACTATGTGGCCAGTATGGTCAAATTGTCTGTGGCTTTGATATCCATGGAAATTGGCCCATGCTGAGTTACCAACCCAAGGTGCAGGATAATCATTGTATTGTCTTGCTTGAGGTTGCTGGTAATAACGACGATCTTCATTCCTCGAATTCCAGCCCCTGTTTCTCGTTGACTCATTGTGACTTTGCCACTGCTTCTGGTAAGCAATGCTGCTTTGGCCCCTGTCACTTAATGACTTATCTTGTGGTCCTTTGAAACCACTTTTACATCCTCTACTGTATTGAAGAGTCTTTGTACCTCTACAATTGTACGGTTGATAGCGATACTGGTCCTTGTGTTTCCTTATCCTACTATCACAGCTAATTCCTTGGACGTTTCTGTTATCAGGTCCCATCAGCTTTGTAGTGTAATGTAATGAACTGCCCCTTTCACCATCTGTAGATGACTGTGTAGATAAGTCATCAACTTGCATTACATGTACATGCCCTGAAGGTGTTTTTGATGGTTGCCTTGCCTCACTGCTGAAACATACAAAGAAAATGCATGAATGCAATTACAATCCATGAAATGAAATCAAATTAACTTGACCAAATTACCGTGTAATGCAGATGACTCAGCTTTACACGTGCACATATTCAGGTGTATGTCTTGTACACCTTTTCAAAACTACTTTACAACAGAAACTCCTTTTTCATACAATCTTTTACAAGCTAGTGCTTGCTCCTTTAATGGAATTTAAGAAAAACATATAAAACAGTGATAAATAAAAAAGGAATTGAAAAATAAAAATGCCAAAACAGATTCTAACATTTTACCATGCAATGAGAAATCATATTCTGAAATACTAACAGGTTCTAGAACTCCCAGAATAGTCCTCCCCCGGTGATGACCCAGTGTGCAAATTGGTATAAAAACATGTAACTTGCCATGGATGTTCTCTGATGCATTATGAACAAAACCTTATATAGGGTCACATCATGTTGGCTTGTTAATTTGGCTAATTAGCCTAGTTGTGACCCAACCCATCAAAATGAGGGACAAGTTGCCTAAACCATTTAAAAATAATTTGCCATCTAAACAGATTTAAATGTTGAGGAATAGTCGCCCTTTCACCCACATAATACCTGTATATGTTAAGATGTCAACATTTGTGCTACATATACAGGGTGCTATCAAACTAAAGGTAATCCAAAAGTCATGGGTAAATGTGCACAGGTTATGAACTTAAACACTGTCAAAGTGGCTGCATCTTAAAGGCTAGTTCATTAGCTTTTCATCTCATGTGCATCTCTTCAGTCACGGTTTATAAACTAAATGTCTTGGGTCGGTTTCACTACCAAGTTGGGCAACGCTCAAGCCATATTTTGAGTACATTTTTGCAATTGGTAGTTATTATTTCAGAGTAAACATAACATCTTTGAAATGATCGATTTAATTATGAAACATGATATTCCATTTAATTACTCAAACACTTTCAAGATGTCTTTCTTCCTGCCCCATTCAACAAATAATCCACTGCGACTGCGAACTGTTTTGGACTGCTCAATTCACAGCTGGAAGAGGGAGTGGACTAGTCCAATATAATTCTCAACTGATGTGTAAAGCCTCAGTAAGAAACTGAAGGCATTACAGTAGGACCTTAGTTGCATTATGGTTGGAATTGACACCCATCACAATAGTGCCATCACAAAAGTAAGAAATTGCCATACTACTTGTTAACAAGTTTTCCAATAATTATGTGCTCAGAATGACAACTACTTTTACCAATTGTGCATGTACAACTACCACATCTGTTTTCAACCTGTTATCGTGTCAGCTGATTCCTTACAACCCTACACTCTATATTCTGCATAATGTACATGTAACTAGGCATAATTTATAACTCATTCACAAATAAAAAAATACGGGAACATGGTTTTTAAAATATCACAGACTATGTAAAGCAGCACTTACAGGGAGTAACTAGGTTATCTAACTCAAAGTATCTAATAATCACATGGATGATCTATCAACTATGAGTCTCATAATGTTTTAATATTATCTTTTTATGAAAATGTTATAAATAATATTAAACATAATACCAATATTAATTTACCAATAACCATGTCACAAAAAAATACAAATATTACGCACTGCAAATATTAATCATGATTATGGTGCTGTCCAAGTTGTTAACTTCATGGGGACAAACAATATATCTATTGTTATCTATATATATAAGAGAGAAGTTTACTCGCTCCCGAGACGATGTTTGCTCATGAAAGGATCCGAGACCGCGGGCTCACGCGGCGCCAAAATCGCTCCACATCCGTGGAAAAATGCGGAGGGTGTCTTCCGCCGGGTCGGACGCTTCGGGTCGTCCTAATTTTCCCGTACGGACCGGCGATCCGTTTCGTCGATTTTTCGTGACTGCTTTTTGCGCAGGAATTTGCCGTCGTGTGCGCTTTCACGTTGACTGCCTGGCCGCCCCCTGTGCTGGCTTTTCTGCGAGTCTAGACTGTGCGAGGTCAGCGAGGTCAACGTAGGGGTTTCGTTTACGTGTTCTACTCAGCCGTTCTGCAAAAGTGTTCACCAAATGGTAGTATGGGGTGACCTTGGCAAAATATTTTTTCTCCATGGTGCGTGGCCACCAAGTGTCCCTATTGTTTCCTGTGCTTTGCTTGCCGCCCCTGCGCCGAGTGCAACGAATACTCAGAAGGACTACACGTTAGTATGCCTTGCGCGGTCTGACCAATCGAAAGTCTACACTGCGTAGTATTTCCGGGCTATGCAAAACTGTCGATGGCAACGCGTACTGCAGCCTGCTCCACACCTGCAAACGAGGTTGGGTCTACGGTGCTCGCTATTTGAAGCGCAAGCATGTGACGTCGCGTGATAGAGTGCTGTTGCTTCCATAATGTGTTTACAGCTCCATGCTTCCACCACCAAGGCTGAGCGTTGCGAGTTCGCTGCCCGCCACGTATAATTCAGTGTCGCGTTATAATTTCGGGGGCCTGTTTGGGGTCATTTGAAGCGCAAGCATGTGACGTCGCGTGATAGAGTGCTGTTGCTTCCATAATGTGTTTACAGCTCCATGCTTCCACCACCAAGGCTGAGCGTTGCGAGTTCGCTGCCCGCCACGTATAATTCAGTGTCGCGTTATAATTTCGGGGGCCTGTTTGGGGTCAACGAAGGATCGATGCATTGCTTCAAATATCGCGATCTTAAACGAAGTCACAAAAAAATCGACGAAAAAGTGTCCGACCCGGCGGAAGACAACCACATTTTTCCACGGACGTGAAGCCGCGGTCTCGGATCCTTTCAGAAGCAAACATTTCTCGGAGGCCGAGTAAAACTTGCTCTTATATATAGATGGTTGAACCAACTTGAATAAAAGTTGAATCGACTTTTTCCTCGCAGACGGTCTCGCAAATTGTAAGAAGTTGAAGTTTACGTTTGTTGAAGAGTCCAATACTGAAACTTAATTATGACCTTACTCCATGATTCAGACCGTTTGTAATTTTATGGTAACACTCAACATTTTCATTTTAAATGACACCTTCACGTTTTATTGCATTATGATTTATTGTCAAACTGTACAACCAGCCTTCGCCTGTGTATTACACTACAGTAACCTTTTCACTACGTTTTCCAAATGCGACTGCCTCACAAAAAGCCAATTTAAGGCCAAAAAAAAAATATATTCGGTCTCTGGTCAGACCAAAGTTCCGGAATTGACGCGGCGACGCGGCTTTTTTTTTTTTTTTTTGCTTTTTTTTTCCTTCTTCAAGCTTGGATTGTACAGACAAGGTGGGGTACTATTTTACTTTTTTGGTGTCCTCATGTTCATTGGTGTCCTCCATAATTTGCCTTGGTGCTCTCGAACATTTGCCTTGGTGCAATTTCCCATTCCTTGGTGCTCTTTGGTAAAACAAAATTGAGGAGGTGCGGCAATAGAGGGCACTGTTGGAGTTACCGCGGAATATTTTGTAAAAAAAAAGATTGACGCGCATGATTAAAATCGACGCGCGCGCTGACCAGAGACCAACTTATTTTTTTTTTTGGCCTAACAGACCAACGGCAACATTAACAGACATTTGCCATTTTACATAATTATTATCATGTGCGTAAATCGACGGGGGACAGGGGGACACACACACACACATTTTGAGGGGGGACATTGTTTGGTCCCCCCCCCCCCACACACACTTTTTCTTCCCCGAATAAAAATATTGTAGCCTACAGTAATGATTCTATTGCTCAGAATACATGTAGCTGATTCAATTACTCAAAACTCAAAACTTTCACAGATGATCTTTTGCTCAAATTGGTTTTAGTGAGAAATTGCCTCAGATCACACCACAGAAATTGCTTTTCTTTAACTGCATGTCTCCCCAACTATATCCCCCATTTACATTTAACTCCCCACATTTTCATCCCCAACACTACGCCCTACCCGATCTATGATCGGGTAAACCAGCTTGTCTATTATAAGATGTTTAAATGTGATAGTTAAACATACATGCATACATGGTTAAACATTACAATGAGTGATTGTGTGAATATTTCCTAATGTCCTTTTTTAACATAAGCAGGAACTGAAGACCATACATATCAAATCTCAATATAAATTGTTTGTGGTTTTGACTGGCCTTTAGGTTTTGCACCTGCTTAAAAGTGCAGCGGTGCCACAGATGGTCAATAGCAATAGTACAAAGGTTGCCATGTACTATATGGGCATATGTACTTTAATTATAAAATTTATCAAATTAAACCTAAAAGTAACGACCCGGTTTAAAACTGAATACTGCCTGCATAACATCATTGTGTATTACTCTACAATTACAAGTACAAGTATGTATATATTGCCCGAGGGAAACTACCATGTTTTTCTGTAAGGTTTTCCTCTTTTTTTGTGTGCGTCCCTAGAAGCAGGTACAGACACCCCCCCCCCCCCTCCGCCTGTGTAGATCGGCTAGTGCAATATTAAATTGAATGCTGATATCAGAATTTGTTTTAATATCCAAGGAACTACATGTACTCATGTTAAATTGAAGGGCAGAGTATACTGGACAGAGGACTTCTTTGAAGGATTTTGCAGTTTTGAAAAGCAAATACATGTAGTGGGTATTCTGTGCAAGGAGAACGGATGAAGCTGCCTCCAAGGTTCTACCATGGCAACCCAGACATGAAAGAGATCAAGAGGACAGCCACCTAAGGACTACATGAAACTCCTAGGATACAGGCTTAAGTGGCCAAGACATCAAGACATGTATGATGGATAGGGTGGTTTGGAGAGCTATCACTGGAGTCCGACCTTCAGAGTCACCATAAGCAAGTAAGCAAGTGGGTAGCCACTGGGCTTTCAGTCACACTCATAATGTGCATCGACCCAAGACATTTATTTTGTAAACCGAGTCTGAACCGAAACAAAATTGGACTACCTAAAATTGACCCGACAATAATTCAAAGAAAACCGACCCGAAACTGAACTGACCCAATAAAACCTCCCGAATATCTGGCTTGGGCAAATGTGTCTACTTTTTGCGCCTGAACTGACCCGCTTCGCGTAAAAATATGTCGGCTTTCAGTAACTACATGTAAATCATGTCGTGCAGCACTCACAACATGACCTACTGGTGGGCCTACATGTTATAGACTGATCGAGACAGACAGCAAACCATTTTTAGTCGCCACCGCGCACAGTGACTCTGCACTAAATAGTGCACCATGTGAATTCCGTTCTGTTTCGGTTTATTTCAGGTTTTCCAAAATGGCTTAACCCACCCGACCTGAACGCAAAACGGAAACGGACCCAATCCGACTAAAATGACGGACAAACTGACCTGACCTGACCTGAAGTCGGTTTGGGGTCGGGTTTGCACAACATTAAATCACACTACTTGTACCAACATCTTGCCTGTAATTTATAAGGTAACAATGTACCATGAACTAAAGATTGTAGAAGCTAGGTTTTGCAGAATTAATACAGAAACTTTCAACATGTTTTTCTAAAGGATTTTTTTGGGGGGGGGGGGGGAAGAAATATGTATTAAATAGGATGAAAGATACTGCCCAAGTTACTTACCTCAGTGAATGTAGATCAGCAATGTAATTTGACCTCTCCATTTCATGACCTCTTGCTTTTCCGAATGCTAAAAATAGACAAAATATAAAGCAATCATTACACAAACTCCATTACAAATCATTTACCATTCATGTAAATGAACACGCACAATGTATTTTGACAATACAAGTTATCCGGAGAGCCTGAGTGGAACACGGCCTCATGGTATGTGGGGCACAGACGCACTACATTTTCCATGTTCCCGAGCGCAAGCGCGATAACGAATTTATCCTCAAGCAAACTTGACGCACAGTTAAAGGGAATATACATCATTTGCTTTTGCTGTAATTTTCAGAAATGGATGGAATTGGGGGGGTTGGAAATATATAGCAAATATAGTTACACTGACTTTTTTGAGGTTTTGGGTTCGAAAATGCTATAAAGACCAAGAAAAACAATCATTTTCCTGTAGTCTGGTTCCCTGACTCCATATAAGAAGAAACAGAGCAGTTTACATACATTGGGGAATTGTAAGGTCAGGGAACCAGTCTAGCTGGCTCGTACCCGTTCATAGTTTTGTAATCGATTGTAAACAAGTGCGATGGTCAATTGGGGCCAGTATTTGAAAAAAAGCCAGTTTTTTTTCCAACGCTGATCGGCCGATCAGCGTTGGAAATTGATACAAAAATACCACCTTTCTTGACAATGACAGTATACCAGGTGCCATGATTTTACAGGATGCTTTACACTGTCATTCACTAACAGTCCAGCAAGGTATTTCAAAATGATTTAGTAGTTTTATTTTTTGATGTTTGCAAATGTTGTATTTTCCCTTTAAGTTGGAACATGCACCCTGTACACAAACTTTTCAGCGGTCGTCCTGTTACACATGCCTGTTGCACGGAATGGCGTGCGCATCTTAGAAAAGCGCAATACGTGGAGTGCGGTATGGACCAAGCCGTGCTACATGTAGCACAGCTGGTTGCCATGTATCGACCAATCAGGATTGAGGATTCAAGTTTTCTTGAAGATAAGTTAAAATATATCTGCTGTTGGTCACATCGCAGAGAGAATTATTGAGAACTACATATGTAGGATTTCTCAGTTCAGCGATATGTGACTGAGTATACATGTATGATAGCTGTACCTCACATTAGATTATTCCAGTCTAACCACAAAACCAAGATGTAAAGATAGGGATTTATGTTTGAGTTCCATAGACTTATGGTTGTGGGTGTTTACACATAGTTATTTTTCTTTACAGAGGAGAATTACTTTTACACTACAATTGAAAACAAAACTGTTTTATGGTATGAAAACTACATGTATCTACATGTAGGTAGGACTTCCTATTACCCATTCATAAACCCATAAATATTAGAGTATTTAAACACAAGATATGAATATATCTTGCGTTTAATCATCCCCTGAAATTTATTTTGTATTTTTATAAAAGCCAAGAGAGACTTAGCATTTGTTGTTGTTATGAAATGTTTTGTAAAAGCAGGCTTGCAGCATTACTACTATTTAGCATGGTGACTTTGGGCATGAGCCCTGGGTACATGGTATACAGGTTTGTAACACCTCTCCCTAAGGATTCTGTATCCTGACTGGCTGACAGCAAGTCACATGGTGATTGCTATTCCACTATCTTGCTGTGCACAGCCAAAAAGTACTCCATGTGTATGCATAGAAACCAAAGTAGCAACAGGTGTGTGTGTACACGCCCACACGCTACTAGAGTTGGGTTCAAACATTTTATGAAGGGGAAGTTTGGAAAATTGGAGTAAATTTTTCAACTAAATTTGTATTGAAATAGAAGTACATTGTAATTGAATTTTGGTTATATTAATCGGCTATCTCTTAAAATCAAGCAGAATCTGCAGGTGGGCATTATAATTCAAATATTGACTGAACTCTTGACGTGGTAAAACCAGCCTCCCTCAGTTTAGCCTCATGGAGGCTCATTTTACCATACCACTTGAAGCAGTAAATATTTGTACAATGTGGCTTTTGACTAGCCCCCTTAAACCAACATATTGACAAAATGGGGAACTGCCATAGGGGTTTGAACCCTGCTCCAGCCAATTTTTTTGGTTTCAAATTATAGGCCCCCCTCCACCAAAAAAAAATAAATAATGAGAGTGTGAGAGACAAGAACTACATGTACAGGTCTGTGTCTGTTTGAAGAACAGAACATGGGGCTTTTCTGCATTTTACATTTTTTAAAAAGTTTATGTTGCAATCATGAAATGGTACAATTATAACATTCAATTTCATGTAGGAACAAAGTTCCATGATTAAAGTGCTGTTTTAGCATTCCATTGTTTGAGTTCTAAATGAGTGGAATCCATGACATGACCAAGTCTTTAAATAAGACTAGTCATCTCCAAACATTCTATGTTGAACAATAGACCACTGAGTAAAAATTAAAAGAACATGAGTAATCACAAATTACGTACAAATAGTATCGACAATAAAATTACCAGCCTTCTGACTTGTTAAATAAGACTAACAATCAGAGAACTAAATAATTATTATAATAAATATGTACCGGTAACTTGTATATTTTATGTGATTGGCAAACCGTGAAATAAACGAATGAGGATACCGAGCCGGATTATTAGTCTTTTATTGTGAAAATTGTGGCCAATAATGGTGAAAACAAGTTCAGACAAAATAACTGGGAGAAATGCTAGAGAATTGAGATCAAAGGTGGCTAATCTGTTGAGGTCACCCAGGAGAAATGAATCTAAGTTGACTGATGGAGCACAAGAAGCTCTGAATGAGCTTCAAAGAGATCCAGATTCTGACAGCAGACAAAGGTAGACTCATAGATGTTTTTAGATTCAGAAGACTGCCTACATAAATGCAAAACACTGCTCAATGACATGAAGACCCAACACCCAACTACAAGAAACAACTAGTATCACTAGGAGGGAATTAACAGGACTGAATATCGTCTGTTGCACCCCAGTACTCAATGAATGGAACATATTCTAACTATTGCACTCATAAACATTCATTACTTGTATACTATTCCACATTATTTATATACTATTCCACAGTATTTGAAACAAAAGCCCATGTACATTTACAATAAGCTTAATACAGCACTATTAAAACAAAAACCTTCCAGTGAGTGATTGACACCCCATTAATGTCCTGATCATTACAAGTCTCTTTCAGTTCGTCTTTTGAGATCTACATTGCTTGTGTGCCGTGATTAGAATTGTGTTACGCCCATTACGAACAATATATTTTGAAGATAAGGCCAAAAAAAAAGTCTTCATTTCTGGTATGGAGCTTGCCCCATAAGTGGTGCGGCGACGCGGCTTTTTTTCCCCCCCCCCCTTTTTTTTCCTTCAAAATAATGTCGGCTGATGACTGCAAATGGTGCCCAACTAAATTTAGTGCAAAACATATGGGAGCCCAGAGAGGCCACATAAAGCCCATACTCGATCGTAACCCCATCTAAAAACACGTTAAAATTGTGCAGCAGTAGGATTCCAGTCAAACCAGTGAGTTTGGCAGTTTTGAGACATCATCTTACATTGACATTTTTTGTTAAAAATTTTGCCGACGTGCATGGCTACGAAGACGCGCGCGCAGACCAGAAACCGGAGCCTTTTATTTTTTGCCTTAGGTTGGTGATGCCAATTATTAGTGACGCATGTACATGTATGCATGCATATGCCTACAGACACGTTCGACTGCAGAGGTACCGGTACTACGGCAGGTGTCAGTCTCTGGGAAATGGCTAAACTTTTGGAAATGTTTAAACGGTTCTTAAAATATTTGCTTAACGTTTCCAAATTAAAGGCAAAGTCACATCCTTACATGGTGCAGCTATTTCACCCGCCATTAGTTTTTGAGCAACATACTTATTCTGTGCCTCGTCAATTCTGTGTGTCTCTGCTGCGCCAGCTTCAATTGTAATTCTGCAGCGCCAGTAAGGGCAAAAGCAATGTTAAGACATTTCAAGGACACTTTTAGTGAGTCCTTGAAACATTTTCTTCTGATCTCCTCAGCTCAGCCTTCTGCAGCAAAATGAATATGTCTAAGCTGGTTCCTCTGCGATCCCACACATTCACAAATAGTCTACCAAAGGCAGAGTTGCTAACTTATGCCATCCTGCTGTTAACCCTACGTAAGTGAAGCTGTAGGTCCCGATCTTTCACACAGATGTGCAGCTCATGATAAGGCTTTCCAGCGACAAACTGATGCATGATTTCTGTCTGTTTGGTGTTGATGGTGAGACTTAAGTTATCACATGCCACCTGTCCATGCTGGTTTGCATGCCTTGCTCTGAGCTGCCATTGCGGGGCAAAGTCGAGTCGCCAAAAATGTGAATTGATTCGGACTTGAGTCGAGTCATTGTCTCGAGTCATTACAACTCTGGTTTCTTTTCAGTCTGGTGTTGGCTGAGCTTGGGCTTATATTTTGATGGCTTTATTCAGTGTTGGAAACATGTAAAGGCAAAACAAACAAAAATAGCACCTGCATTAGATGTAAAGGAACTCTATTTTTGCGACATCTTCGTCGTGAATGTTGTAAGACATTATGTGGGTTTCCTAAGGTCTAGAACTTTGAAGTTGAATTAATAAACCATGTGGGCACGTGTGGTCTAGCGATGGAGCACAGGATTCATGATCGTTAAGTTGTGGGTTCAAGCCCCGCTGTGGCCGTGCGTGTTGTGCCCTTGAGTAAGGCGCTTTACCTCAATTACTCCTCTCAACCCAGGCATTATTCAATGCTGGGAAGGTAACAGACTCGCTGTGGAGGAGGTGTGGCAATCTCCCCACAGCAGCATGAGTCTGGCCCAATTGCTAAAGAAAGAGAGATGAACACTCCATTCCTGTTAACACAGGTTTGGCATCTTTACTTTTTTTTTTAGTAAACCATCAAAAATGCTTAGTATAAGCGATCCCGAGACAAATGTCCACATTTAACTAAAGAAAGTTGCATATCATTGTAAAATTGGTAAATGGGATGTGACTAAATACTAAGTTGCTTCCAATGCTTTTTGATTCTTCATAAAAAAACATTATGCAAGGTAAATGTGTGAATTCTTGGACGATCTGGCCCAATTGCTAAAGAAAGAGAGATGAACACTCCATTCCTGTTAACACAGGTTTGGCATCTTTACTTTTTTTTTAGTAAACCATCAAAAATGCTTAGTATAAGCGATCCCGAGACAAATGTCCACATTTAACTAAAGAAAGTTGCATATCATTGTAAAATTGGTAAATGGGATGTGACTAAATACTAAGTTGCTTCCAATGCTTTTTGATTCTTCATAAAAAAACATTATGCAAGGTAAATGTGTGAATTCTTGGACGATCTGGCCCAATTGCTAAAGAAAGAGAGATGAACACTCCATTCCTGTTAACACAGGTTTGGCATCTTTACTTTTTTTTTTAGTAAACCATCAAAAATGCTTAGTATAAGCGATCCCGAGACAAATGTCCACATTTAACTAAAGAAAGTTGCATATCATTGTAAAATTGGTAAATGGGATGTGACTAAATACTAAGTTGCTTCCAATGCTTTTTGATTCTTCATAAAAAAACATTATGCAAGGTACTATTTTTAACATTTGGGTTCTGAAATTTGTGTACCGATGTGGAAATGTTTGGTTTAAACATGGAAACCTCTTATCCTTAAATTTTATTGCGTAAGTTTAAGGATATATGTGTTCCGAACATGGCAAATGGAATGACTGAGTTCACACTAAGTTCTCTTCAATTTGGAAGAGCCATATGTGGCTAACTTTTATTCAGTTCTGCCATTTGGCTGCAGCACTAGCAATAACCCTTATTAACACTTACCTTCCAAAATCCTCTTTTCAAAATGGAGGATTTTGCAGGATTGAGGCTATTTTGGCACAAGTGTGTGGCTGATTGCGGATGATAAACTGTGTCAAGATTTTAGACTGGACCTTGTGTTGTCTACATGTATGCACAGCCATGCATCAATTTAGGCCTATTTTATACTCATATCATCCACAATGCTCTAGGATGTCACATGCTCTACCTCAACATATTGGCAGTGATTGCCGGAGGATTTTGACCCCTCCAAGGACCACATTCAAGAAATAATGGAGGATTTTGCAGGGTTGAGGCTGTATGCAATTTTATATAGAACACTACTGTTGTTTCACAGAGATAATCTCAAAATAACTGTATCTCAATAAATAACAGTGTGGTGTATTTTAATTATTTGTCATCTGAATGGAGATTACATAGAGACATAGACACTGTACTTACCAGCCAATGCGGCACTTGCTGTCCATCCTAAGCACTCAATCATGTATCTAAACAGAAAATAAAAGAAAGCATACACAGCACTAACCAGCATGTTGCATATATATATACGTGTATTTAATCAAATCAAGCATCATTTGGGATCACATTTGGTTGCAATGATAATCATAACACAATCACTGGCACAGTAAATGTGGTTTTAATTCTCATCCATTGAAAAACTTTTATTCAAGTGAAAAGTGAATAGTAGGCTATTTAAATATTATACATTAGGCCAATTTTTTTTTTAAATGTCGGTCTCTGGTCAGACCAAAGTTCCAGAGTTGATGTGGCTATGGGTTTTATTTTTCATTTTTTTTCTTCAAAGCTTGGATTATACAGACGAGGTGGGAACTATTTTGCTTTTCTTGGGTCCTCATATACAATGGTGTCCTCCATCATTTATTTGTTCTGTGATGGGGATGATCTGACCATCGCACGCAGTCCCCTTCGATCTAGCAAAACAATCTCTTGCCACCACTGGACAGAGTCCCATCGCACACAGATCTGTGCGCAGTAAGTAGACTTATCAAGCCATCATATGACACAACGCCTAACGGTCGTCACTCCACAAACAACGAACATGGAAATAAGTGGCATATTTCATGTATTTAGACATGCTATTCACAATCGTTCACATCACATGTTGTGTCGAAACGTGGGTAGTTGACTAGCCGCCATTGTCGTTGATCAGCTGGCAGCAACCTCGTACCCATGGTCTACTAGATCATTCTTTTAACATCGACCTCGTACTGGATCTATCACCCTGGGTACGAGGTCCAGCTGGCCACGAAAATTTGAGGCAGTGTGGCAATAGAGGGCGCTGTTGTAGCTACTGCGAACATTTGAGAAAAAAAAAAAAGTTGACGTGCATGATTAAACTCAACATGCGTGCTGACCAGGGACCGAATTTTGTTTGCCCTAAACATGTATTCAGAATTCCACAACACCGAAGATCTGTGATTTTCTTATTCCATTCCTTTACAACTTGAAAGTAGTTTAAAGGTCATCAATGTTCATTAATTTGAAACAAAAATATAATAAATATATGGACCAATGGCATTTCTTGAGTAAAGACAGAAAACTACATGTACCTGCATAAAAGGTAGCCAGTCCTATTGATGCCATGTGTACAATGAACTCCTATGACAAGATCTGTATGTTCAATGAGCAAAAAACAAAAAGATGACCTCAGACCAGTTTATGAATGCAGATTCAATAAAATACGACGTAAGATAAACAGTAAAAAGTGCATAATTTCAATGGATCACTACAATTTCATGCATGGACTCTGCAGAGTGTATCGCCCCTTGTACCTTGGGTACATTATCTATGGTTCTCAAATAAAGTCAAAGAGTTTTGGAAAATATTCTCGGTTTTTCTCTTTGCGACACTGGTCTAGTACAAATACTTCTGTCAAGAAAACCTGGTGATCCAATATCCATGGCATGTAATAGGGTTTTCACTCTAGTTCAAATTGTTCATATTTGCTGAAGCATGAACATGTATACATAACATTTAGACAAGTAACTCACCATCATCGGAGTGTTGATGTGTGAATTCTTGGACGATTGTTGTAAAGCTGTAGAGAGAATCAAACTTTTTCATGTAAAACCTGTATACACATGTATATTTGACTCATCACCAAAAAGAAACATGTTTTCACCTAATTTGTTCTTTACATGTTTTATTGCAAGAAAGTATACATGTACTTGCTGGATTATTTGATGGCTTTTAGTAGATTATTAATTAACTTGAATGCTTTATTTTCACATCAAACTGGATTTTATTTACAGCTTAAATTTGTAAAGTAGAAACCATTTATATCATGTGCATGTATTAATCTAGCTCAGTGAATGTCCTGATTTTTTCAGTGTTAAAAGCATATCCCAAATTTTAATACCAAAAATATTTTAATTTCTTGAATCTAAACATGTGCCTACCTGAATATATTTTCCTTTTATCACAAACTTTTAAACAAAAAGCCATATCTTCTTCCGATTTTGCTTCACATTTCCCCCTTTTTGCACTCTGTCCCAAATGGCCTAGATATTGTACATGATGTCAGTTTGGTCAATTCTTAAAGTTCTAAAAATTATAGCAGAGACAGTCTGTGTTAACATTCAGCACAGATAATAGTTTACATCATTGTAGATGATGTAAACTGAATTGATGATGAAACCTGACTGGGCTTCCTGGCGGTGTGCATTGGACCAGACAGCCATTACACTGCATGTGGACAGACCACACACAGAAATCTGGATGATGACCAATCAAATTGTTATAGGGCCTGAACGTATCTATTTTGTCTTTGAGCTTCCAGACCCCTCTGCGACCCTTTTATGGGCATGTTACACAGGGTTGTCCTTTCTCTTGCTACAGATTTTGACAGAATGATTTCTAACCGTATTCACTCCAAGAAACATTCATGTTGGAATTATATTTTGGAATTCCACAAAAATAACGATGAGTAATCACTAAGATGGCTAAAAACCAATTTTACGACATTTCACACCCGGCGTTTTTGTTTTTGTTCTCCTGCCTAGTGCCTACATCCCATGGATTCTAGATTCAGTCCAGCTTGCTTGAATACAGTTCTCATTGACGGTTATTTTAAATGTGTTTGTAAATGATAATGAGTCCTTCAAGTTCATTTAAAAATATGGAAGTCTTGAAAAAAGTTTCATTCTCCTATAGGTTTAAGTTTTCAACCAATAACCGCCACAAAATTATTTCATAAATTTTCATCTTTGTAGGAGTACATCGAGTTCCGCTAGTCCACATGTATTTTAGATTTTCAGAAGTGAGAGGTCAATTTTTTGCATGATATTTTTCTTTCACATGTAGCGATAGTTTTCATAATGTTGTGATGCTACCGGTAGTAAGATTTTTTTTACACTGGCCTTTTTCAAGGGTGATTTTCTTCGGAAATCAATGCATCAAAAATTATTGCAAATTTTTGAATTTGTGCACGTTCATTTTCCTATTCAAAGGGTTCCGAAGCGCACCACTAGGGGTGGACTTTCAGGCTCTACGGCACACCAGCAACATATTCTAAGTACCCGTTTGAGTTTCGTGCAAGCCTCAAAGTGCTAATCTTCAACAACATAGGTTTTTAATAAGGGAATAAATGTGTGCTTGGGAGGTGTTAAACACAATGTTTATTAGACTGGTTGGAGTCTGGAATGTTGATAATTAACCGAGGCGAAGCCGAGGGTAATTATCAGCATTCCAGACTCCAACCAGTCTTAAACATAGTGTTTAATACCGACCAAGCACATATTTATTCCCATTAACAAATACCTTTTTGGTCAAAAAATCAAAACTTTCTGCTACAAAAGTCAAAACAAGTTAAAATTAAAAATTTCCAACGGTTTTGTCTAACAAGTCTACTTTCTGTTTTTAGAAACACCCTTCTAGCTATATAAAAGAGTAATAGAGTGTCCAGATTGAGAGTAAGACATAAACAACTCCATTTATGGAGATTGGCAAGCAATTCACGCATACTGCGCGTTGATGCGCAGATGCAGCTGTGGTGAGTGCATTGTGAATTTAGGTACAATGGGCTCCTTGGATTACTTTATTTTCACGAGAACAATTAGCTCTCCTCTGAGATTTAAAGTGTGACTGATTTAAAGTCTCCTTTTTTGATGCAGCATCAAATGTGCATTTAAGGTCTCTACACATCTCTGACCAGTGGACAAGTTTTTAACTACATGTCCACAATGAATGTTTTTGGAAAACCTACCTTTGAACAATTTTCTGTTGGGGTATGACATGTCCTTCTGTGTAAAGTTTACGGTATTCAATGCCAGCTTGAACAAAGTCCTTTTAAATGAAAAAAAGAAGAAGTAGGTCAACAACAAAATCCTACAGAGGGGGCAGTATAGAGTCAAATTGCACATATGCGCAATGTTGTCAATGTAAGACGTTCAGAGAGCTGAGCATTCATTAGACACATGAATGACTCAAAACATTCACAAATGTCATAGAAATTTGCATATGACTAATATATGATAAAACATGTATCATTTCAAAATAAGCACTTCAATGCTGATTTTTCCTATAAAAAAAAAGTAATTTTCCACATTAAAAGGTGTATTAACATCCAAGATTTAAAATGTGTCTTCTCTAATGACCAAGGAGAATCACCAATCGTCCTGCTAAACTTCATATCAAATGCAGAAAAACTCTAAATTTCTCTCCTTGCAGTAAAACTAATGAATGAATGAATGAATGAATTGCCCAGTCCTTTAACAGACAGCATTCATTACAATGTACAGAATTGAGACTGGTTCTTACTTGTGGATTGTAGTAGCGACTAGTGTTGGTTAGATCAATAATAAGACCAAGACCGAGTCCCGATTCCTTTACCCTCTTCAGTAAGTCTTCTGGAGTAAACCTAGAAATAAATGAAGCATGTAGGGACAGGTTAAATCATAAACAACATTTAGACACAAAGTTAATATGTGGAGACAAGTCACAAATTAATCCTAGCAGTTTAGTGTTTTGTATGTTATGTCATAGTGCTGCAGCTGAACCACAGACCGAACAAAAATTAACCGAACATAGCACTTCCACATAGCTGCCAACTTATCTAAATCCAAATTAGTAATCAACCCGCGCGGTCATTTTCAACTGTGCGTACATTAACAGTGTATGTACCAGCTTTATCAACATCATGTATAGGTACATGGTTAAACGTACACATACATGTGCATACCCTTCTTGTTGTGATTAATAACGTACTGTATAACGTACTTTATTTTGAATGAAACTACATGTTCACAGACATGGTCACATTGGCGGGTGAAATCTTTGAAAATTAATTTCTCCAGTTTGGAAGACCGTATCTTCATGCAACTTTCAGGATTTATTTCCCCTATAATGATCCAAGTACATCGATGACGGCGATTTTTCACTGACATGAAGTTTAGAATTTCTTCTTCAGTCAGAATGTAACATTTCAATCATACTGAGCATATTTTCTGAGAAACACAACGTTCAAAATGCCATGTTTTTGGGGGTGCATGAATTTCACTGCTCTGTTACAGCGTCTAAGTACGTACTCGGCGACGCTTAGCGGTTAGCAACCATATGGCTGAGTACACACACATCCACACGCGATAAAAACGAGGTGCACACACCATTGAAAAACATTTTTAGTCTGGTCCTCAAGTACTCCACTGCGCGCACCACACTGATGTCTATCAGGTGCTTGACCGTACTGCTTATTAGACTTGTCACCAGTCTATCCATTATCATAACATTTCGCCAGAAGTTTTCGGGCAAAAATGATCTTTAACATTTTTTTTTCGTTAGATAGAAAATGGGAAATTCGTTATTTTTTTAGTGGCAATTCGTATTTTCGTAATTTAACCAAAAAATCGTAATAATTATAAAAAATGTGTAATAGTTGGCAGCTATGCTTCCATCCCGCATACGTTCAGAAATACCATTTCTAGGGCATCAACGCAACCAAAATAATCATGAACCAAAACTTATGTACATGTATGTAAATGTGTATACCATGTACGGAATAGGTTGCAGTATCAAATAGGAATGACAAAGGATAATTCCAGATTAACAATGCCTTTTTGACACGGATTGTCTAACTAGTCAAAAGGCTTTAAATAGATCTAATTTTTGACAAGATCGCGATGGACTGGTCCGAAGCACTAAACTCGGTGGATAGATTCTTATAGCCCTAGAGAAGATATTTATAAGGAGTGACAACTGAAATTCTTTTGGTATGGGTGCCTCATTTGGAAAAATTGTAATGGCCGCCGTATAATATATTTATTCACATATTTTGGTACATTCTTAATTTTTTTTAAAGTATATTTTGGTGACTGGATAATTATGAGAACATTATGACAGATTCAAAATGGCTACCATTATACTACATGTATAAAGTTGTGTGCATTTATCTTTTCCCCAGATATCATGATGTAGTATCATCACATAGTTATATTAGGGTAACTGTGCCAGTACGTAACTCTGTGAATTTGAAGTTCATCAATACTGAAGTTTGACAAGTACTTAGATCAAATCTGGGAAAAGGCAAATTCATGCAACTTTAAGCCATAATGGTAGCCATTTTTAATCTATCATACAATGTATATCTATCATAATTGTCCAGTCACTTCTTTGCTTTAGAAAATGTTTTGTAAGTGAGGATATACTTGCATGTAAGTAGAATACCCAAAGCATACCTTTCAATTTTATAACAAATGTATGGCGTGGCTGTCAGTTTGGATTTGAAAATAAGGTATCAATCCAAAACAATTTTCAGGTGTCACCCCTTCTAAATACATGTATGCTTTGTATGACCCATAAAGTCTCCATGCCACATTTGGTGCTTTGGACCAGTTGGTCACGATTCCACACATAAGCCACCTGACTAAAACGATACTCTTAAATCATCCTATAGTAAATGTATACTCACCTGAACCTTGGAGGCAAATTCTCACTTAATGCCTGCAATTCACAAATTGAAATATTAACCCAAACATTAATCAACCAAGCTTGTACAATTCATCAAAAAAAGTATTTACCTGTTGGCTTTTGTTTTACCAATTGCCATTTGGACTGAGGTCACATGTAAAAAAATGTTTACGATTACAGGTACAATTTCAATCCTCAAATGCATTAATTCCATCCAAATTATTTATTGCTGGTGTGATACCTATACATGTATACATGTACATACTGTCTAACAGACTCCAATTGTTCAGACCACCTTTGTTGAGTGGTAAAGATTTCTGCTCAAGTAAGCAGGAGGTTGCTGGTTTCAGGGGTGGATCAAGGTTTGAAGCATGAGGGAGTTTATCTGCCAATAATGGGGAATTAACTGCGTTTTTCTACATGCTTTTCCACTTTTTTTGCCAAAGAGGGGGGTTTAGAACAGACTCCCCTCCAATAGAATTTTCTTGCACTTTTCAGTCAGTGTTAAGAACATAGTATGTGTTAATTATATTTATGAATAGCAGAAACAAAAATTTAGCTTTACAGTTTACATTTTCCCCATACACCCCCCCCCCCCAAAAAGAATCCATTTATTTTTGAATTGCAGTATCTGCTGCCATGTTGGATTTGAACTAAACAGCTGATTCTGGCAAGTTAAAATTCAACATTTCTAGAACGAACCTTATTCAATGGCACTTTGAAAGCTATGAGTCTGGTCCCGTTAATGGTTCTCCCTAACGGCTCATAGCACTCCCATCTGTATGGGGGAAAACAAGAATTACACAAAAATAATTTTATTGTCATATATAGGGGAAGTGGTTTCTTTAAAGGTAGAATGGACCATTAGTCATTTGTTTCGTTTGAAGCAACAAACTTGCTCAAAATCTTAAGACGGCTGCTTATAACAACTAACCTATTAGTTTTAGCCATGTGAATGCTGTATGTCACAAAAACAAGATTTTTTGGATCTTGATTTCAATTCGAAAGTTGCAGAGTCATATTTGAATTGCGCCCTCTTGTGACACAATCCCTAAGTCACTCGGGACATAATCCTCATTCAGGAATAATTTCACAGGAGTTTACTGTCAGCGTCATTACTATCTCGAAACCAAGTAAGCTTTTTAAAAATAACTTGGTCTGTTACTTTTTGCACTCTGACTTTTATGCATAAAATTCTGCTTGTGTTGCAGATCTGCTGCCAAAAATATGGGTTTTGAAAATAAAAACGCTACCAATATTGTTGGTTTGTATGGAATACTAAAGTTGAAGCCCTTAAAATAAACTGCACATTTTTATTTGCAATTTAACAACCAATCCGGCTTTGGACCAAAGGTAGTCCAACTGCCTCTGCAGTTAATAGTCTCCTCTTGAACAACTATATGCCTTGTACAAGTTTGTACTCTTTTGAGATTGAATACAGGACAATTGTTATAACACAAATGCATACATCTATCATATATGTCACAGACTGAACCAGCGAATTACAGCAATAACTTCTTAAAAGACTCAAAGTTTACTGTATTATGGAGATTAAAGGGAAGATACAACATTTGCAAACATCAAAAAACAAAATTACAGTAAACTCTGGCTAAGTCGGCACTCCCGAGAATTTGTGACGACTTACGCGAATGCCGACATCTGCTGTAAGTCGTCATTTTGCCGACTTACATGAATGGCCTTTTGCACACATGATTCATTGCACTAATTGGCTTCGAGTTACCCTGGTTTATCTCCTTAATGCTTGAGTTGAATCCAGCAAATTAATCCTCGAATTGTATCATCTACTAGTTTTGGGGTATTGATAGTGGAGACCATACATAGTCCTATGTGCACAGTAACAAATTAAATGCGTGCGTGGTTTGGTATACACCAGGCACGCATTGACTACAGCACTAGTCATTCAATAAGACGACCCCCAAAATGGACAGAGCGCATGTGTACAGACTAGAGGGGGTACTGGTATTGATATGCTCATGATACATATGCGATGTATGCAGTAGGACACCCTTTTGCAACACCAATGCATGCAGTGATCACGGGCATTGCCAAACCACTTTTCACTCGACACTCCTTGCCAACCGCAGTACAGGAAGTCGATGCCAATGCGTGATTTTTTGACTCATACAAAGCATTTTGTAATGCTTTTTATGGAAAGGGAACCGAGAGTAACACAACGACTTGAGCGAAATGGCGACTTGTAAAAGCACACTTAGAAATAAAAAATTCAATGGAAACGCATTATGGACAATCGGGACTTGAGTGATTTGACAAGTTGAGCGATGTCGGTTTAGCCGAAGTTTACTGTATCAAAGTATCAAATTATCACATACTTTTGCATGTATGTGGGCGCACTTTTGACTAAAACTGAATGACAGGCAACAGCCATACAAATGCACATTGTCAAAATTTGATGCAAGCTAGTGAGGGCGCGATTTATCACAACCCATGACGTCATGCAACACGACGCTTTCGTGAACAATGGCTGTAAAAGTCATCCGAATTCAACTCGAAATTACAAGATAACTAGACCTCTGAAGGTGCCGAATTTAACGTTTTGTTGATATTAAGCAGTTGTAGACGGCATTGTGTGAGTATAAAGTGACAAAATAATTGCGATTTCGAATGCATTTTCGGCTCCCTTAGCAACGGACTCTACGTCCAATTTATGGATTTGTGATGGTTAATACGGAAGTAGAGGATTACCGTCACATTTATGGGACTATCTTACAAGTTGACCAATCCGTGTACGAGTTGGTTCGCGCATGGATCTGATACACCGGCCCTCTGGAGACGTGAGTACAGTAGGGAACAAAAGATTGTATACGTCTCCACAGGGCAATTTCTATAGATGAATACGTCTCCACAAGGTTTTCACGAAATAGATATAGGCCCTATGGATTTTTTACTCAAAAACTGTCACAAATGGAAGAGTTTTAGAAAAGGGATATCAAGTCCAAATTTTAGCCAAGGAAATTAATTCTGGTTAAAATAAGAGCAGTTTGAAACTTCACTTTCAAACTCGAAAACTTTACTAGCATAACGAGGCCTAGGCCTACACGAGAACAAAGAAATGTCTCTGTTACGCCCCAACTATCGCATCGGTCCCAACTATAGTTGGGACTGTCCCAACTATAGTGCGGCAGTTGGGTCGGCCCAACTATGGTTAGGACTGAAGTTGCGCCGGACACTCGATACATGATACAGGGTGTTAATGTTCCGCGGCGCTGGCATCGGCATCATGTAAATGTATTCATCGTACATGCATGCCGCAGGGCTGGCCAGCCACGTGGTACTGTCTAGTTGGATCATGGCTGGGTTTTATAGTCCAGGAACATTTTTTTATGCAAAATTCAAAGATGGCGTGGCCCAGCTATAGAGACGGGCCCCACCCATAGCTAATTTCAATGGTTCCAAGTAAAGTCAGACGTGTATATATCAGAGCTGTAGAATGTTACGGTAGGCCTAGCTGTACAGCTAGTGAACGATAGTTAGGACCGCAAAATTCAAAGATTGGCGTGGCCCAACTATAATGGCCAGGCCGGGCCCCACCCATAGCTAATGTCAATGGTCCCAAGTAAAGTCGGACATGTTTCAGAGCTGTAAGGAATGTTTTATAGTCGTACATTAGTCCAAGTAACTTGGACCCAACTTATCGCCTTTTTAACATTCGGACATGGTCTGGCGATAGTGGGGTCCAAGCTAATAGTGCGAGCTGGACAACACCATTCTGTCACTGTCCCAAAAACAAGTAGACTGGATCGCGTTAGTAAACACAAGTGCATTTCGAACGATAATAGGGGGTCGGGAACTAGGACAGCTTTTATGGACGGATACCAGTTCAAGCTGGTTCCCGATTCCCTTTTACCGTTCGAAATGCACTTGTGTTTACTAACGCGATCCAGTCTACTCATTATCATAATCGATGCATCGCGCGCGCTCGGTAACGGAATCGCATTAGGGATACGGGGACCATCGAATGTACGCTGGGAATGAGGACCACATTGCGTCGTTCAAACATTAACACGAATCGGAAATTTAACGTGTTCACGATCGCGAGGGGAGCTCTTGGAATTGAACGGGAAATTTCACTTTCCATCCGGATCGTAAGTAAACTTCAGTACAACCATCTTAATTATCGATGTCTACTTGTACCTCAGTTGGCGTATCTAGTAATTTGGAGGCCGTTTTGAAGGTGAAATCTGATGTTTTTTGTTGGAAAATGTTGGTTTTGGGGACAGTGACAGAATTGTGTTGTCCAGCTCACACTATTAGCTTGGACCCCACTATCGCCAGACCATGTCCGAATGTTAAAAAGGCGATAAGTTGGGTCCAAGTTACTCGGACTAGTTGTACATCAATGTAAACTATAGTTGGGACCGCAAACTAAATATATTGCAGTGGCCCAACTATAGATAGGCCACACCCCTAGCTAATTTCATTGGTCCCAAGTAAAGTCAGATGTGTATCAGAGCTGTAAGGAATGTTTTATAGTCGTACATTAGTCCAAGTAACTTGGACCCAACTTATCGCCTTTTTAACATTCGGACATGGTCTGGCGATAGTGGGGTCCAAGCTAATAGTGCGAGCTGGACAACACCATTCTGTCACTGTCCCAAAAACAAGTAGACTGGATCGCGTTAGTAAACACAAGTGCATTTCGAACGATAATAGGGGGTTGGGAACTAGGACAGCTTTTATGGACGGATACCAGTTCAAGCTGGTTCCCGATTCCCTTTTACCGTTCGAAATGCACTTGTGTTTACTAACGCGATCCAGTCTACTCATTATCATAATCGATGCATCGCGCGCGCTCGGTAACGGAATCGCACTAGGGATACGGGGACCATCGAATGTACGCTGGGAATGAGGACCACATTGCGTCGTTCAAACATTAACACGAATCGGAAATTTAACGTGTTCACGATCGCGAGGGGAGCTCTTGGAATTGAACGGGAAATTTCACTTTCCATCCGGATCGTAAGTAAACTTCAGTACAACCATCTTAATTATCGATGTCTACTTGTACCTTAGTTGGCGTATCTAGTAATTTGGAGGCCGTTTTGAAGGTGAAATCTGATGTTTTTTGTTGGAAAATGTTGGTTTTGGGGACAGTGACAGAATTGTGTTGTCCAGCTCACACTATTAGCTTGGACCCCACTATCGCCAGACCATGTCCGAATGTTAAAAAGGCGATAAGTTGGGTCCAAGTTACTCGGACTAGTTGTACATCAATGTAAACTATAGTTGGGACCGCAAACTAAATATATTGCAGTGGCCCAACTATAGATAGGCCACACCCCTAGCTAATTTCATTGGTCCCAAGTAAAGTCAGATGTGTATCAGAGTTGTAGGGAATGTTTTATAGTCGTACAGCAACGTAAACTATAGTTGGGACACCGCAAAATATAAAGATTGGAGTGGCCCAACTATAGATGGGCCCCCTTGATGACTCCCAACTATAGTTGGGCCAGCCCAACTGTGGAACTACAGTTGGGACCGTCCTAACTATAGTTGGGACGATCCTAGCCCAGGTTGGACGAAGTCTTCATTGCATTACGACTGATGTCCAGGATGAGAATTCTCTACATAAGACCACCCAAAATTTGGACCAGATTTTTGTTACGTTTTACCTCGTTAAAGAAGCTTATTTCACGCCTACATTTTCTATGTGTCCTTCTCTATTGATCCAGGGGTTCAGGAATTCCATATGTGATGCTGACCGACATTAATCAGGAAAATAAACTCTAAAGCAACGTTAAACTTGTACGTGTTTGTAGTCTCTTTTCATCAGTTTTATTCCCGAGTCGTACGTCATGTACGTGCGCACGAAAGCGCGCACGCACGCTAGCGCCCTCATTTGTTTAGTTTTGGTTTGAACAGTGACGTCACTCCAGCCAACCGACGTCACGAAAATGCTCAACCAATGACCAAAGCCGAAACATGTTTCTGGTAACTGGCGCGAAAACACGCTCGGTCATTGGATTAGCGACCGCGCCTTCAAGTAAGTGCGCGTGCGTATGAGGGTGGTTACTAAGCAAATCGCGCGTGCGCACTGCATATTCACGCTGCATAGTCTGGCTCCCAGACCAGACGTGATATGAGCACCGAGAATAATTGTCAGTTCTAGGGAACCAGACTACACGCTGCACGGACGTACACCATGTACGACTAGAATAGACTCGGCGTTGAGAAACTGATGAAAAGAGTCTACAAACACGTACAATTTTAACGTTGCTTTAGAGTTTATCTTCCTGATTAAGGTCGGTCACCATCACATATGGAATTCCTGAACCCAGCGGCCCAATAGATAAGGACACATAGAATTCTACGACGTAAAATTGGCTTCTCCAACAAGGTAAAAATATTGAAAATATTGGTCATAGTTTTTTTCGCCCGGTTTTAAGCACTTCATATCCTGGACTTCCTCCGTAACATAGGGAGGAAAGGCAGTCCACCTGGGCTAGGACGATCCCAACTATAGTTGGGACCGATACCATAGTTGGGGCGTAACATCTCCACAAGGATACAAATTTCAGTAGGGCTAGGCCTGTGTTCGCGTTATCTGGTTATGTGTTGTCCCGTTTCCGACCTAGGCCATCCTTACTTTTAGGACCCCGTTCCTATATAGGAAGGGAAAGACTCACCAAAACAGTTGACTAAACGACACTCAAAATTGACATTCTGATACTTCTTGGCACATCTGAACAATTGGCAATGACACCTTCTTGAATATCAGCAGGTTTAATTTTGTGGAAAGAGGGCAGGGCTTTGATTTATGAGGGAAATTCAGGGGTAAAAGACGACAATGACAACCAGAAAACAGACTCAAAAACTAAGATGGCAAACGTGAAAGCTCGATGCGATGAAAGCTCGATGCCGATTGGCTGATAAAAAATAAACATCTTATTTATTTTTTTTAGCAGCCAATCAGCATCAGGCTTTCATTATGTAGGGCTTTCACTGTGTTGTGAGAACTACAGCATGCACGTCTGACTGCGAAAAAAGGTAGGAAAGTCACATTTTCTTTGAAAGTGCTTTCAAAATTACAACTAACATGAGTTTATATGAAGAAAAAAGACTGCTTTAGCCTGCAAAAGTCACTTTGATACTGGACACTTTGGACAGACATCTGCAAAAGTCATTTTTGAACAAAACACGTAAAAAATAGAGGTGTCCTACATCATGTCCTAAAACAGTAAAAGTAAGGATTACCCAAATGAGCATAACCATGGTCACAGTTAGCCCGACTGCGTCTGGCCGTACAGTACTATCGCAAGCTCTGTAGTACGGCCAGACGCTGAATGCTTCCAAAAAGACTGAATTTTTTTGGCCGCTGATGTAGCGATTTTGCTACATCTTTTGATCGGGATTATCTTTTCATCCAGGACAAAAATTTCCACAGTTAAGGTTCTTAGTCGTAGAGCAACTCATACCTTTTCGAAAAAACGTTCTTTGGTCTCAATATTTTCATCCATCTGGCCAAAAGACGACTTTCAGTCATCATCTTCCACAAATATCGTCCCGAAAATGCTCCCCCATGCGATTTCAAAATGGCGGCCGCGCTGTAACTCATGAATATGCATAAACAGTCTGTGACGTATGACCTCGTGTTTTTGGACGTGCGTGCGGCGGGGCCGTACGTACATATGTACATGTACATTACTTGTAGACAACAGCCCAGTACGTGCATGCACACCGCCGCGCGGACATACGTGTGCATGCACGTACCGGTGTCGTGCCAAAAACCGTCCGGTGCCTAATAGTGTCCGCTGAGCATGCGCAGTAGGCGCCAGACACTATTTGGCATGTAATACATGCCAAATAGTGTCCGGTGCCAAATAGTGTCCGGGCGCCGCAGAACAAGGGCGCACACAGTTACGTCCTGCCGGACAGTATTAAGCTGGAAAATCGGACAGTATTTTGCAGGAAAAATCGGACAGTATTTTGCAAGGGGGTATCGGACAATATTTGGCAGGGCGGGGAATCGGACAGTATTTGTTGGCAGGAAAAATCAGACAATATTCAGTGGCGGGGGAATCAGACAATATTTGGCAGGGGAATCGAACATTATTTTTAGCAGGAAAAATCGGACATTTTTTCGCAAGGAAATCGGACACTATTTGGCAGGGGGAATCGGACACTGTTTAGCAGGAAAAATCGGAGAGTATTTGGCAGGAAAAATTGGACAGTATTTGGCAGGGGGGAATCGGACAATATTTGGCAGGAGGAATCGGACAGTTTGGCAGGAAAAAATCGGACAATTTTTGGCAGGAAAAATCGGACAGTATAAGGTGGGAGAAACCGTAAAATATAACGTTGGTTATAATGCTACACACAGCACATACATGTACATGTACATGTACCTGTACTACTACGCACACTTCACACGGCGTTAGGCCTCCGTACGTACGTACTGCACACCAAACAGGTGAACTGACGCGAAAAAAAGAAGGAAAAAAAAACATTTTGCACAAAAACCAAGTCAAATAGTTATCACAGATAACAAGAACAACGTTAAAACAGATTGTAAAAAGCAAATTCAGGTGAAAAGAGATCTTTTCTATACGATGTATTGACAGTTCGACAATTAAGCTAGGCACGCAATAGGATGCACGCTAAGCGCGGACACTATTTGGCAAGCGTCAGTAAACAATGTGACGTCATAGACGCATGACCAATCAGATCGCATTATGCTAATTAGCGGACACTATTTGGCACCGGACGGTTTTTGGCACGACACCGGGCTGTTGTCTACAAGTAATGTACATGTACATATGTACGTACGGCCCCGCCGCACGCACGTCCAAAAACACGAGGTCATACGTCACAGACTGTTTATGCATATTTATGAGTTACAGCGCGGCCGCCATTTTGAAATCGCATGGGGGAGCCTTTTCGGGACGATATTTGTGGAAGATGATGACTGAAAGTCGTCTTTTGGCCAGATGGATGAAAATATTGAGACCAAAGAACGTTTTTTCGAAAAGGTATGAGTTGCTCTACGACTAAGAACCTTAACTGTGGAAATTTTTGTCCTGGATGAAAAGATAATCTCGATCAAAAGATGTAGCAAAATCGCTACATCAGCGGCCAAAAAAATTCAGTCTTTTTGGAAGCATTCAGCGTCTGGCCGTACTACAGAGCTTGCGATAGTACTGTACGGCCAGACGCAGTCGGGCTAAGTCACAGTGTTTATTTATGCCTTTTTAACTGACTGTTAGTCCTTATTTTTTCCTCCATGATCTGACTTAGTTAATAATAACAACAACAACAACTGTACGTGTGTGTTACCTTTCGGGTATCTTCCTCTTAGGCATAATTAAGGGGGGAAACCTGTTTTAGTCGTCAACAAGGCTCAAGATTTTCTCGGTGCGCTTGCATCTACATGTATATTTAATTATATGTACACGTGATGTGACCTGTGAACCACAATGACGACATCAAATTGGGCCATGGGGAAGGGCGCCGCTTACGGCAGGTAGGTAAAACGCGTATGATGCGCAAGGTTAAAGCTGAAGTCCATCATTTGCAGCCATCCGAAAAAGTAACTGGCGTATTATTGTTGAAAAACATACTTGGTTGAAAGATAGTAAGGGGACTAAACTCCCTGTGAAATTATTCTTTCTGGCAAGCTATCATTTTGAAGTAATCAACGAAAGAAGGCCTTTCCAACGGCGGCGTCTTAAGACGCATTGGCACGACGCACAGGAGGGCGCGGGTGCTATAATTCGTCGGATCATGATCAGTGCGCGACATCACGTATAGCTGCAATTCTAAACAATTCAAAACATGATTCAGTAACTTTTGATTTGAAATTGAGATCCTAGAATGCTGTTTTTCTCGGAATATACAGCTGAAGCTGAGCTGAAACTTCATCAGGTTAGTTGTTCAGCGTCCTTCATTAGAGTTTGAATACTTTTGTTGCTTCAAACGAACAAAATGCACAAATTACAAATGATGGACAATATCTTTAACACGTAAATTATATAGGACATCGGGTGTACAGTGCGAGCGGGTTTTTCATTAATTAAGAAAAAAAAAGTTCAAAGACGAATACTCGGAGAAATGAATTAAACATTAAGAAATAAATGAACAAACGAATTAATGAGTAAAAAGGAGAATTAAAGTAGTGTCAATGAAAATAGTTACGTTGAGATTTAGCAATGCAATAGAGAGACGGTTTTTTTTCGGGGGGGGGGGGCGGGACGGGGCGGGCGGGGAGGGGACCGGGCAAGCAATCACATATGACTTAAGCGGCGATTGCTTAAGAAGTCTACAACTTTCCTGAAGTTGTTCAAATATGGAGACCAGCTTCAGGATTTTTGCCTTGAAAAACAAATTAGCATTTATTTGTATTATCAAATATTAGAAAATCATAATCTATTTATAACCCGTTGCTCAGAACGTAATTATTATAATCCCCTTCAATTTGTCAAGTTTTGACGTTATAATAATAATTAACTTTTTTTTTTAATGCTTTACATTACATTACAAGCGCTGTACACTTTAAAAAATGCATCTATTGTTTAACAATTATCAATACATTCATTAATATTTTAATTAATTAATTAATTTTTGACGGTATAATAATAATAAGGGAATAAATGTGTGCTCTGGAGGTTTTTATCACTCTGTTTAAGACCGCTTAGAGTCTGGGTGCTGAATATTAGCCGAGCCGGAGGCGAGGGTAATTATCAGCACCCAGACTCTAAGCGGTCTTAAACAGAGTGATAAATACCTCCAGAGCACACATTTATTCCCTTATTATTATTATACCGTCAAAAATTAATTAATTAATTAAATGCACATGATATAAAACATTCTAGCATTTTAAAAATCATATTTTCCGCCTATTTTGTGGACGTGGCCTAATGTGTTAAGGGGTGGTGCAGTGGTTTGATCCAATTGTGGCAAATATCGTGCATTTTCGTGGCAAAACCATGAAAATTGGCAGGCCTGTTTGAACTGAAAAATGGGCTTAACATTATGTTTACGACAGGGATCCACTTTGGAATTTGCCCACTGTGGGGATGAGGTTTATTTAAAAAGGGGCGCAAAAAATCCAGAAAAACTGTATCATGTCCGTTAAACATTAACGTTAAACCACTTGTTACTGTCATGCATTTGGTGGGCGCAGCTTAAATTCTAGGCGATTTATGGAAGCACCTTGGTTCAAACGATGCCAAAATCGTCATTTTGGTGGTAAAATCACAAATTCTGTATTCGTTAACTATATTTTTACAATACAATGTAAAGACAATATTAAAGGTAACAGGCATCCCCCCTTTTAAGCAACATGTCAAAGTAGGGGGATTAATATTCGATACCTTTCTGTACTGGCTTAAAGTGCTTTGTGATCCGTCATTCAAATATTTCATGTTAAAGACGTCAAGCTAATGTAAACTATGTGTACATCTTAATCAACTGTCAAGAGTCAAAGAGCATCCTTAAATGCATGTAGGAACATTTGCATTTAGTAAAAAGAGTACCTATCGATTAACGACACATTCTTTGCCCAAATTAAGTTTGAGACCTGCTGTATGAAAGTGTTTCGCCTGAACTTGTATCATTTAGAGAGTGAAAAAACGTTGAAGGTGGTTTTAGAAGTTTTCCCACGTGCTGTTTTTACCGAGCTATCCAGCAAATGTTGGCGGTATCCCAATTTGTCATTGTCCTTTTCAATCAGAAGGTGCTTGTTACAAGCCATAAACGATGCCATATAGCAGGGATCACGCCCAAAGTCATTACAAATTATCAAATAAACCACAACGGGAAACTGACTGTATTTATGTAGACTCGTGACAGGTGATAAAATGTAAATATACTGCTACAGGAAACTAGAAGCCCTAAATCGGAAATATTTAATTGAAGTAGATTAAATTACTTTGAGTCAGTATGCATACTATTCTTCCCCTACCATGTAGGTACCCGCTGCTATGTACATTAGATTCGAACCGGCCAACCGATCCCGTTAGCTCGGTGGTCGAGTGGAAAGACATCTGCACTAGAAGCAGGAGGTCGTGGGTTCGAGTCCCACCCGAGTGATTTCTTCCAATTTTCACTCGGGAGGTAACACACTTAGTATACAGTGTTAATACGTCGGTGAAGGGCAAAACCTAATTTGATTTACATCACCCCGACGCAAAAATTCCATCTTATGAATAAGCATAATACTGTTTAAAAAAGAAGACACTTTTAGGGGGTGGTGCTATTAATCAGAGAATAATTCTGCATGATTTTACCCCCGAAAAAAAAAATAGTTTAGCGGCTTTACATAATTAAGTGTCATGGGGAAAATCTAGAGTTTACCTACCTGCCGTGCGAGGCGTTCTTCCCCATCGCGACCATTGAGCAGGTACTTCTTGTTTCACTTTTTTTAAGCGGGCTTTGCGTGCACAAGGTAAAGCCAAAAAAAAGTTTTGTTGCCCTCACCCGACCGACCCCCAAATCTGGAAATCTTCGGCCGGCTTTTTTTTTTAATGCCAATTATTCTGCATTTCGTTACAAAAATGTTAATTTTACCGTGTTCGTGTAACGGATGACGCGTGGTTGTCGAGACATGGGGCATACCGGCAAGGGCGGATCCAGGGGGGGCCAAAGGGGGCCATGGCCCCCCCCCAAAACGAAATCAATTTTTTTTTATCTGGATCCGCCCTTGCATACCGGCATCGTACAGCATGGAGGTAGGAAACACCCATGCGTACACTGAATAAAATGCGCACGTGCACAAGCAGTACACATAATTTTTAACCGCTGCCTAAAACGTACGTTTCGTGTATGAGTCGAGTTGGTAGAGGGGAACTGGTAACTGGAACTGGAATTCTTTGCAAAATATGAGTCAAATGATCACGTAAGCTACAATTAAATAGGGGACGTGGATGAAAACTTAAAAAAAAAAAAAATTAAAAACAGATATCAACGACGAAAATCTCAATGAAATATCAACGACGAAAATCAATCTTCTAAGAAATCACTTTTTTAAAGTATGGTTTGCTATTCACAGGGTAACTTATTATGTGTACTATGTACACCCCCCCCCTCCAAAAAAAATATAGGTGACCATTTTAGTAGATTTTCTGGTAGATCTGACATATCTTTTTGCTACAAAATGAAAATAGCAGAAAATCCAGCAGAATGAAAAGTTTAGCACATTTCTATATCTATTTCTATTTCAGAATTATGAACAATTATGATCTTCACAAGATACAGCAGTATTAATAATACCGGGGTCTCTTACAGCGCACGTATCTACGGCATCTACCAACAATTAGGTACTCAAGGCGCTGGTAATAAAGTTTCTTTTTTAAATTTAGACAGGTAAATGAAGTTTATTAGAAGTTTATGATGTTTATGAGAAGTTAGGAAGAAGTTATGAAGTTTATGAGAAGTTATGAAGTTTATGAGTTTTGTAAGTGAACAAGCTTCAATTATTTCGAACAAATCATTGAACAGCGGGAGGGGTGACATCAATTTAACATAGCCCTACTACATCTAGCAGACATTATTTTTCAATGTTCATCTGGTCACCATAATGTATTTATAGACTTGGCCCAAGTCTGGGTTTCGCTTGGTCTGTGCAGTAACGTAAACATGCACGTACACACTGCACGGACAAGATGGATGTCAATTCTGGACCAGCCACATCATGTGAACAACTCCGGGGGGGGGGGCACGGGGAACGGGGCGGCGGGGGGGGGGGGGGGGGTAGCGGAGGTCCGTACCTCCCCCTTATAAAATCTGTAATTGAACAAAAAAACCGATAATATTATGTGCCTCAGTGCTCCCCCCCCCCCCTAAAAAAAATAGTACACCCGCAGCGCAGGACCTCCTTGTAGTTTAACCATATAGTTTCGCCGCTGCATGTGTATTTAATTTTATGTGAGTTCAGAAAGTGGCAGGCATGTTTTTATTCCATACATACTAAGTTGAATGGAGGTCCAAGAAAATTACATAGCGCAAAATCAGTGTTGTAGTCGACTACTTTTTTCCGAGTACCGAGTACTGCCGAGACTTAGGTTACCGAGCTAGTACGAGTACGAGTAGGCCTACGAGTAAGTTGTACTTCTATTTCCGAATACGGCCATACGGCAAATGGTTCATTGTGTGTAATTGACCCAGGCCCAGTCAAACCGATATACAGACCCACTCACGGCTAGCTGTTAAATGTGTTTGTCCGGACGTGTGCACAGAGGAAAATCAGGAAACTTTGATTTCTCTGCAAGCCGATCAACCATTTCCAACTGAAAGTATCGATAATAAAATAAGACTAAACTCAAACTATACCTATTTTTTTTCGAGTACTGCTATTCGAGTACGAGTACTTGATGATCGAGAACAATTTTGACATGTCGAGCTAGTACGAGTACTTTGCTGCCCGAGTACGAGTACCGTCATTTCGAGTACGAGTACTTTGACATTCGAGTACAAGTC